TCCCAGCCAGCAATCTTGACTCTTCGTCTGTCCCCATAGCAAGCCGCTTGCTATATAGGCACACAGTGTCTGCATGCTCCCGGGCTGTGTGTCTATGGAGCTGCCCACCACTTCCTCCTTACTGTATTTGTTTGACAGCATTGCACTTGATTGACAGCTCAAGTGCCGTGTGAAGAGGAAGAGAGGGAAGAATAGCCATGTACAGTGCAGGGATCTATTCTCCGCCCGCTTCCCCTTCACATAGATACAGTGTGAGTGTGTGTGGAAGGGGGGGGTTGATGAGACGAGAAATAGAAAACATTTTTTATCTTAATGCAAGGAATGCATTAAGATAAAAAATGATTTTAGCTTTAGTATCAGTTTAAGCCAGAAAATTAAGTCCTGTTAGATTATTGCAGGCAGGTATCGCTATGTAAAACATTGAAAAAAAAGTGCCTATACTGTTTAAAATCCACTAATACAGGTTGTCACACCCCCCCCCCCCCCCCCCCCCTGCTCTGCACATGTTCAGTTGCTCTCTTTTTTGGCCCTGTGTCGAATAGGAAGAGGCCGATTTGCTGACAGCCTAAAGATTTACTACTGTTCTGGGACTCCGGGCTTCAGCAAACTGGCAGCCTCCAGCAATAAGAAACAGGAACAAAGATGAAGGCAATTTAGATCACACACTAATTTTGATAACAAAATTAATAATGTTGAATGTATGTTCTTTGCTAAAGAACATTGTTGTGGGTAATGTTCCATTTAAGCTTGCCATACTTTAATAGACTTTTGTTTGAAAAATTCCTGTTTAGGAATGTTCATTTGGCTTTCTAATGGTTAGTGGGGTCAAATTAATGTTGATGAGAAAAGTTGACAAAAAAATTCAAAGGATCAAGATGGAGGCTTTTCTTCTAACAGACATGTTGCTAAAAGTGAATGTGGTTTTTGTTGAGAAAATTCATTGCAAAATTGAATGTTAAAAGCACACTAATATTGAAGTACTTTCAAACAACATTCATCAAGTCATCAATTGTACTGAGAATATTCCTACGAACGCTCGTATGAAAATCTTCTCATGGCCAGCTTTAGCCCACCCCGGCAAGGGAGCCCAGCAAAACTTAAGTACATTTTAAACCTTAGGCCTACTTTAATACTCAGTTGAAACTCATACAGTGTATAGAAACATTTTATATCCCAAAACATTATTAAAATGGGTGCACTCCTCATACATTTGAAATATTACCAGTCAAATGGGTTAAACGTAATGAGGTTGTTTGATTTTACTTTTCTATTAGAAAGTTTTCTTTAGGAAAGGAAAATGTTTTCCATTATTGGTGCATTTGGAAACTATACTGCTTTGAATACTGCTTGAATGAAGAATTTGTTTAGATGGTTCTTTAAAGGTCTAAACACTGAAAATAAAAAAAACAATAGGAGGTAGAGCTTTTTGGCACAACAAACCTGTGACAATCACGACGTCAGATCCCAGCCCTTCACACCAAAGTCGTGACCGAAGGACTAGCCAATCTAAAACTGCGATGTCACGTGCGTAACAATGCCACGCCCAGCTGCACCCTGCACAACGATTTTCCAGCTAATGGACCACAATCGATGTACCGGCAGCCTGAGTGTGATTGTTACTGGGTCAGGTTAATTACCTAACTAGCCTTTCACACTGCCACCACATCCTTTTTGTACAGAGAAAGAGGAAACTCAGCAATATCAGCAATAACACTATGATGGTTGAAATAATCGTCTGTATACCGCTGTCACCGCAGGCAGGTTATACAGAGGGTTAAACACACACAGTAGCGCTCTGCAGCGGCAGGAATTCGTAGTTTGCATTAAAGGCGTTAGAAACAGTTCAACACTTTCAGAAAGTAAGATTTATTACTAAAAGGTCAAAAGGGTGCAATAAAAAATATTTACAGAAAAAGATGTAGCCTAAATATATATATATATATATATATATATATATATATATATATATATATACACAAAGAACAATAGCACAGGAAAGAGATAACAGGAAGGATTTTAGAGGGTTAAAGTACTTGCCAGTCAGCCTTGGTGCAAGCAGCTTCAAGTTTCAGAAGTCAAAAGGATTTTGTTGTCTCTACTGTCAGTTTCGATGTTAAACAGGAGACTCTTCTTTTCTCTCTCACACACACACACCACTCCAAGCATAACAGCCTTTTTCTAAGATCTCAGGAGGGTGTCTCCTTACAGTAGAGAGCCAATTGCCTCATTTGGGGAGGGGTGTTGGGGCGGAGAGCCAAGCTAGAACAAAAATCCCTCTTAGCTTATATTATGGCCCATAACTTTTCCTAGGTACATGTAACATTCCACCCACGGGTATATTAATACGCAGAATCGTCTGCTGAATGTCTACATATGAAATATGACATATTTACTTGAATGGTTCAGGAGATACAATTTTCTGCTCTCTTATATGTGTCAGATAAGGGGTGCAACATACCAGGAGAATGGTCTCAAATTGAGCCATCCGAATATGGGCTCCATGTTTAGGTAATTATGTCCTACGTGAAGATATCAACTTATATGAAAAAGTGAGTTTTTAAAAGTAAGTCTGTTTTTACGACTCCTTGGAAGGTCTTTTGAAGTTAAGTGAGGGACTTGGTTTACGCTTTTACGATATCCCAGACTGCACAACTAACAGACAGCTAGGCTCCAGCTCCGTTGGGGGTTCTATAGCTCGGAGCTCTCCTGCTGTGCTTTGGCTGCCTGTGACCTCTGTCATCACTCAGCCCACATGTCACTCCCCAGCGAGGGAGGGGGGTGGGGGTGATTGGAGGAGGCAGCCTGCTTTAGGAGTGAGAAATGGAACAACATGGAAAATTCTTAACAAAATGGAGGTTCGTATCCACCTCTGGGTGCACGATTGCTACAACATGCAAAGTCTATTAAGCCAAAAAAAAAAATCTCTTTTCTCCTCTTCCATTTTTTATTTTCTGTGCACATTTGTCATGGTATCTGCAGGGTGCAGAGAATTGGTGGTAGGGGAGATGTAACTCCTGCTGTGCTCATGAGCAGGAGCTACAACATTAATGACTGCCCAAAGAAGGACGACAGAAGACTCAGAAGAAGGGACAGAGAAGATGGCAGAGGCAGAGGACAGAGCAGCAACTAACAGTTAATATAACATTAAAGGAGGGCACGCCCTTGCAGCTAAACATGTTATAATCTGCAACTATGATGCGCATATTTGCACATTATGGCAAAAGCCCTTTTAAACAGCTGATTTTAGTTTCACTTTAGAGTGTGTTATATGAATTCCCATTCCACCTACTTAAACTGTAATAAACCCACAACAGTACAATCAATCAGTCTGTATATGCACTAAAGCATGCTTGATATACTCACCGTGGAACCTAAAGGGTTAGTCCTCTGCATTGTGTAAAAATGCTGTTTGATTCTTACTTCTCTGATCCTCCCCTTCTTCCAGTGTCCCCCTCTTATATCCTGACAAGACATGTAGTGTGGAGACACTCTGCCACATGCTCAGTTTGGCGTGTATTGCTAGAGAGGTGTTTTTTTTTTCTTGGGAGAGTGCATGTGATCAGCACAGGGCCAATCAGCATTGTCCAGACCGAGTTTAGAGGTTCTGCATCTTCCTAAAGCTAAATGAAAACTCCTCCTACAAGGTTTAACGTGTGCTCAGCTGGACACTGATAGAAGTAACTAGACTGCTCTAACTGCTAATGAGAAAAGGTATTTAGCAGTTTATATTTACTAAAATAATTGCATTTCCATGTTCTGTGTACTGTAGGAGGCCAGATATATTGAATGAAGAGTCCTAGGTTTCATAACACATTAACCATTTCCTCATTTGGCTACAGTAAACTTAAAGAGTAACCCCACTTGTGTTGAGAAAAAAATATTCCCCCTCTGGGTGATCTATGTACATTGCAAGGATTTTAACAAATGTCTTCTTCTTCGGAAAACCAGTTAAATACATAGTACATGTTTGCGGTTTTATCTTCCAAAAGATTTGAAGTTCTGTTATACACACACACATGCTACACTGTACAGGCACACAGCTGGCTTGTTAAAAAAAAAAAAACAATATTCCATGTCACTTCTCTGCATCCACTCTGCTGATTGGTAGCTGGACCAGAATCAGCACCCTTGCCTAACTAGCTTGGAGATGATCTAGGAAGCTGCATCAGGAACTTGTAAAAAAGATCTGTCTGGCTGTGCAGTGTAGCAGAGGTGATCAAATCATAAAACTAGCTCAAGAAAAAGACATTTTTTTTGCCAGGTAAAAGTTTTAAAGAGTTAGTTAACACCTTTTCGTGAAAACTGAAAATGTGAACTAACCCACAACACATATATGCCCACCACATTTCAAGCTGGTACACAGCCCTGGAAGGGCATAAAGTGAGTGATAGTGAGTGATCATTGGCCAGTGCTGGCTTTGAAACCAATGAGAACCTCTGCCTTGTTCCAGGATGGCCTCCTGGAAAGCATACTCAAGGCTCCTTTACCTTCAAAAGTATTCTCACTGGTCAGTGTGATGACGTGGCCAGTGCTGACCAATAACCTCTTCCTATTGCTTGCATTATGTTGCGTAAGAACTGTTATACTAGCTGGAGAGTGCAGCAGATAATGTGGAGCACATAAGGTACATGCAACAGAGACCGGAGGGGTGGGAGGGTGTTGTGCGTTCATTTGCCTTTTCATTTCTGTGAAAAGGTGAACTAACCCTTTAAACATACATATATTTTATCTGTGTAGTGGTTTGTTCCATCTTGTAAAAAATGTCATATACAACAGAATTTATGACTTGGCCTTGGTTCTATCTGAATTAAATTCAAGCTAAATTTGCGTCAACAACTCTAAAAAGCTGTGGAAATTGCCCAAAACAAAGTAATTATCACAATGTATACAGGTGGTTTCAAACACAAACCAGTAGGTAGATGAATATACTAGACAGCTGAGCAGTAAAAACAACACTCAGTGGTGAGGCAAGAAGGACTGTACACAGCTCTTCTGCTTACCTTCGGGGATGAAGAATAAAGTCTTTAAATGTATATGGTCGCTCCAACCGGGGATTTTCTGTCTGGAAAAAGCAATGATAACTGGTAAGACCATATAAAACATACATACAAAAAAGTCTACAGTCATTACAAAAAATTAAATTAAATTAAGAACAATGATAAAAACAGGACATTATTAGTTGACAAGATTTCTGGCATAATCAACAGGTATTTCATATATCACACTTTCAGGTGTATACTTAAAAGGCCGTAAGAAAAACAAAGTCATTTGCTAAGGGCTTACATACACTTTTAAGTCTATCTACAGCCAGAACTTTTTTCTCAGTTTTGGTTACAGTCCCAGGTCAAGTTTATTTATTTTGTGGCCCAATGCGAAGATTTTCTTTCACTTCGCCCATTTGCTGTCCTGGTATCATTACAGGAAATGATTGGATAACTCTCCAAAATGAGTTGAGATCCCATCATCATTGTCATTACCAGAATAGGTTTTCCTGTTCCTCTACTCCCTGTTCCAGTGACAACTATTAAGTTTTGAATTTCATATAATTTCTTGTTCCAGTAAAATCAAGATAAAAAAAAAAAGATATGCGTTTTTTTCCAAATCTTTGGTAAACAGCAGACAGGGCATCCAACAGCCTAAGGGCTCTTTCACAAATGCGTCTACTACTCCAGCACTGCTTATATCTTTCTCCAAGGACAATGACTATTAATCTGAACTCCAATAATGCTAGAGGTCTCAATATTCTTGGCAAATGCTTAACAATAAAAGAATACAACTCCATGAAAGTGGACATTCTTTTTGTCCAAAAGACCCACTTTAAAAAAACCTGAAGCCTCTAAAGACACTACTACAAACATTATCCACAGGTATATAAGACGAATTGTGGAAAGCTTATTACTTTTAAAGAACTCTCTCCTTTAAATATCTACACAGCATAGAGGATAACCAAGGCCATTAGTACAAACAACAATATTGTTTATACTCCAATAAACCTATATTATCACCAATTCACAAAACAAAGTCACTGGAGATTTCAATAAAGTGGGAAATGCTAAAAAAAAAACCCCAAAACAGAATATAGATAGAAGGTTCAGTGACATGGATTGCTTCACATTTTGGAATGCTCATAAGGCCTACATGCATAACATCCTGCTAAAAATAGGCACCTATGCAACTCAACAATACATGCAACACATAGATGAGATGCTACAGAAATTTAAAACTACTGAAATATTAAAATAAAAAACTAAATTCAGAGATTATTAAACACAAGTAAATGCTCTGTACCCTTCCTCTATGCAAATATGAGAAAAGCCACATATGTCTTATTGTTACCAGCTATGCTCTTAAAACCAAAGCGGGGCCTACCTAGCAAATCAACTCAAAGTAATAGATCAAAATAACTCACAACCCACCCCAAGACCTAACAAACAAAAAAACGTTAGATTTTGTGACTGCCTTCAGCACACACTGTAATTACCTGTAAGACCTAAAAAAAATCCTCAATACTCTACAACCCACCTCAACTAAAATCAACTTCCTCCACTCTACAGACCTTTCTTCTTTCACCCAAGAACAAGTTGTTGAATTGTCAAGACCATTGATTCCTCAGGAAATCAGCTTGAATAGACTGCTTTCCACATAAATATTATAACCAACTAAAAAATACATTGACCTTTTACCTTACAAATGTTTTCAATATGTCAATGTCACAGGCTCCAGTCCAAAATAAATGTTAGAAGCAATTATTATAACTATCCCAAAACCAAACCAAGTGAATACATCTCCAAGCCCAGTGGCTACAGACATATATCATTACTAAATGCAGGCACCAAAGTATATGCAAAATCACTTGCCTAGAGACTCTTAATTATCCTCCTAAGAGGTACAAAAATACAGGAGGCAAGGCACTTGCCAATATTCTACATTACCAAACACTATGCTACTGTACTCAATCAATTCCAAGACTGGTGGGGTAACTCTAAAAAATATGGTCTGAGATGGAAAAACTACATTTATTCAACTTAAAATCTGGATAGCTCAGGTATAACATCGCTAATATAAATTATACCCAACCAAACCAAAGTTATCATTTAAACCTTTGACTGGTAAGTAACTAACTCCAGCTAATGTATGTGTTATATGAACCCTAAACTCTATCTATTAAAAATTACCTCTCCCAAAAATAAAGGAATATAAAAATATATATTCTCATACATCCTGTGACACACTGGGAAAATATTTGTAAATAGATGAATGGTCTAAAGCCATACAATTTTCCTATAAGGAAATTGCTCCAATCATTGGGAATTTCTCCAAAAAAATCATTGTTAGATGGTACACCACTCCATTTAAACTATCCAAATTGTCATTTGAGTGATTCCTGTTAACATCATGATTCAAAAAAGAGCCAAACAACTATGTGATAATAAATGGCTTCATATGATTACTATCCTTAAATAAAAGACAGTTTTTTGGCATGATCCATCATATTTTCAATATCAATCCCAAAATGTCACAGTTTCTGTCAGGTTATGCAAACTTTTGAACACAACTGTTGTCATTTACAGGCAAAAAAAAGATCACAAGCCCATTTAGTAGAGGAGCTGAAGAGTAGAAAATACATCTAAGCGTTTGAGTGTTAATGCACTCCAATGGTTAGAATAAATTAATATTTTGGTCAATGGAATCCATTAACGCTCAAATGGTTGATGCACCTAACGTGTGTGCAATAGACAGCTTCAGGCGCACTTTTTTTTAAGCAGTGTTTCTCCTGGTAGGAGTTCTGATGTTCACAGGAGCAACTCAAACACCCTGTGTACATGAGGTCTAAATTATAGTGGAAATGAAAATTCTGGTGCTGAAACTGAAAATTCAAAATGCACTTGGCCAAAAACCAAAACTGAAATGCAGTTTTTTAAAATGAATATATATTTTTTGGAAAAAAAATAACTGATTAAAAAAAAACAAAAAAAAATATATACCCCAGCATTTTTTGTAAAATATGAAAGAGGATGTTATGGTAAGTAAATAAATACCCAACATGTCAAGCTTTAAAATTGCACACGCTCGTGGGAATGGAATGAAACTGTGCTTTAAAAATTGCTACAGGTTGCAGTTTAAAGTTTCAGAGGAGGTCTAGTACTAGAGTTATTGCTTTTGCTCTGACGTTCATGGGATACCTCACGTGTGCGGTTTAAACTCCATTTACATACGTGGGCATGGCCTACGTACGTGCGAGCACAGGGGGACAGGGGCACTTTAAACTTTTTTTTTTTATTTATTTAATGTTATTTTTTTTTCATGAACTGTCCCTTTAAAAAAAAATTTTAATCACTTTTATTCTTATCACAAGAAATGCATGAATCCCTTGTGATAGAAATAATTAGAAAAAGGTCCTCTTTATAGAGAGATATGGGGTCAATAAGACCCCACATCTCTCTTCTGCAATGTAAAGCATTGGATAAAAAAAAAAAAGCATTGATCTAGTGCTTTAAAAAATGTTTTAAATAATGCTGGAAGTGACATCACTCCGGTCCTCCAAGGGCATAGAGACGAGTGAAGGCCATCTTTCCTTCACTCATTTCTATGTCCAGCTCCGGGATCATTCGATGGTTTCTCAAGTAAGGCTGAGAACTACCGAGCGGCGGCCGGTCGTGGCAGCGACGGCAAGGGGTGGGGTTTTTTCGGCACCTGTATTTTTTATGGACAGCTTATATTGGTGCTTGCATTAAAAAAAATCACAAGTTTAGCCACTACAATGGCTGCTTCTGATGTATTGTAAAAAAAACTTTCAAAGTATGCATGAGATCAATTGGTTTCTAAATGTAAAGTACATTAAATTGCAACATTTTCTACCATACTGAAGAATTCACTGAATTCAAGAATTCTCTAGCAATGAATAAATGTATTGCGTTGCTAGCAAAATTAGGGTGATGTGTAGCCTGCCACATAAACCGAAGAGAACTAGTTACAAAACAAAATCTGGAAATAGTTGTGCTCAATTTCTCTTTTCACCAATTAATTTCCAACATTGTGTATTGCAGGTTCCCAAAGCCCTGAATCCTGTGCTAAGTGTTGAACTCTCAACTACACACACAGGCAGATGGACCTGGAACTCAGAACTCCATAAAAGCAGAAATGGGATAAGTTAGAAAAACTGTGGTTAACTATGGAATAAATGTGAAGAAATGTCACCAGCACACAAAGGATTCCTCAAACAGGTTCAAAGTTTTATTCTGTGGTCATATAATGCAAACAAAGGCTATTGTTTGCACTATGGGACCACAGAGTAAAACTTTCTTCACATTGAGTGCCCAGGTTCCCAGCCTGTGATCATTGCAGCACCCAGCTATACCGAACAGCCATCTTCAGGAACGTGCGCATTGGCAATATTTTGATTTAACTACGGAATAAATCTCATTGCCTTTTGAAGGCAGTTGTTCAGTGAATGTCTCCCTAATAAATGTTGCTGACACTTAACTGCAGCAACTTACAATCTAAAAACAAAGACCTGACAACACTAAAATGTAATGCCTTCTGTTTGTTTGAACACAATAATAAATCTGATATACTGAATCAACTGTCATTGTGCTACATTCTAGAATGTACATAAAGCTGAAAAATGGTTAAAACCGTTACTAAATTTTCAATGTGCTAGATAAGTCACTTAACTGTAAAGGCTTATGGGTAAACCAACCTAAGAAGCCTGCTATAAAACATAGATTGTAACACAGAGTCATAAACACTCTGAGAAACGCCTGTCTGGCAGCACATCCAGTCTACATCTCTTACTGTAAGTTAACCACTTTATCGCGTGGAGGAGAGGCAGCTGTCTGCAAAACAATGTAGAGTGCTTGGCAATATCCAAAACACTAAGCTTACATAAGGTTAATTATTTTCATATTCACAAAGCCTGATATTCTCTTATATCCAAAAAGTCATGTGGTTGTTTCTGTCTAAAGGTAAGAGCTTCAGTCCTGAAAGGCAAGATTTGTATTTGAACTAAGGACACATATTGGCTTTAGTGACCTTACATAAATGGAAAAAAAAACAGACAAGATTTTGATTTGCAGATTAGGTTTACAGAGGTATAAAGCAAAACATTAGGGTGTTCACCCATATCTTTACAGTACATACCGGCAACTGGTAAAGAGGAATATCCACTTGACCAAGAAAGTCATCTCTGGTCTACAAATGAAAAATAATGGTCAATAGAAAAAAATGAAACTGCTGCAAAACATGGCACTACAACTTTATTTAACTACTTGAAGACTGGACTGTTCCATCCCCTTCCAGTCTTGGCCATTTTGGAAGTTTTCAGCTCTGTCACACTTTGAATAACAATTAATGTTAATTGAACAACTAAGGCAACACTGTACCCACATGAATTTTATATAATGTTTTTGAGACTGATAGAGCATTCTATTAATATTTATCCACTACTGGGCTTTTTAATTTATGAAGTAAAACAACATTTTTCTTAGCTTTTATTTTGTTATAAAAATTTGCATAGAGGGGCCCAAAATCCCAAGGGCACCTTTAGGCTTTCAAGGAGCTTAAATTGCGCATCTAATTTCCTGATTAACCCATCGCATTTCTTGGGTCCATGAAGTACCAGGACAGGAGAAACACCCACAAAATGGCCACATTTTGAGAAAGCAAACACTCCAAGGTATTTTCTGAAAGGCATAGAGAGTATTTTGAAAATTGTATTTTTTTCCAGAAGTTTTTGGAAAATTAATTTTTTTCTTTTTTAAACAAAGTTGTCAATTTAATAAGATATTTCTAACACACAGCAAAGACATACTTAGAATTACACTCCAAAACATATTCTGCTACTCCCCTGAAGTATGGCAATACCATGTGTGAGAGACCTTTCACAGCCTAGCCACAAAGAAAGGTCCAAAATCCAAGGAGCACTTTCTGGCTTACTAGAGGTATAAATTACGCACCTAATGTCCTTACTATTCACCTCATTATTTGACAAAGACTGGCTCCACCATTCGAGTTCATTAACACATGAGGTTGGAGGGCAGTAAAAGCTTGCTGTTAAGCTGGGAATAATGCTCCTTTATTACAAACATTTAAGCAGCTTGATTACTGACAAAAGGTTGTGGTATGGGGCACTTTATACAGTTATACTTGACTTATTCACTCAAAGTAGACCAATACACAAGAGAGATGAAACAGTGCACACTCAAGATACACCTCACTGATGAATAACAGACACAAGCATTAGGGCTAGATTTGAGGTACATCGGCATCGCACTCACACCCTGATCAACAGGAACAGTTCTTTAAATTGTGTGCCCCATGGCTCTATCATTAATGATTGCTCTAGAGGACCATTTCTCCAACACTTTGTAACCCAGATGCTACAGCAGCAGTATACAGTCAGGTGCACTGTCCCTGTTAGTGTGATTTCAAATGGTGAGTAAGGGGCCCCACTGTTTAAAGCGTTACTAAACCCACAACAGTAAAATCAGTCTGTATGTGCAGTAAAGCATGCTTGTTATACTCACTGTAGAACCTAAGGGGTTAATCCTCTGCATTGTGTAAAAAGGCTGTTTGATCCTGTGTTCTCTGATCCTCCCCTACTTCCAGTGTCCCCCTCTTATCTCCTGATAAGACATATCGTGTGGAGTCACTATGCACGTGCGCAGTTGGGTGTGTATTTCTAGAGCTTTTTTTTTTCTTGGGAGAGTGCATGTGATCAACACTATCCAGACACAGGTCAGGGGTTCTGCATCCTCCTAGAGCAGAATGAAAACTCCTCCTACAAGCTTTAACGTGCTCTGCTAGACACTGATAGAAATCACAAGACTGCTCTAACTGCTGATGAGAAAAGGTATTTAGCAGTTTATATTTACGAAAAAAATACTTCCATGTTCTGAGTACTGTGAGAGATCAGATACAGTGAATGCGGGGTCCTGGGTTTAATAACACTTTGTTTATACTCTAGGCATTATTATTTTATTTTATTTACCTTGTATAAAAAAATGGTCTGTAATTCAGAACATTGTATCAGATTTCACCTGTCATTCTTTCCTATTTTATGCCCTTTTATAAAATGTGACCATAGCTTTTAGCAGTGCATTTTCATCATTGTGCATATCTTTTTAACCAGTAATGTAGTAAACCAAGATAAACCCAATCATACCAGTATGTGAAAGAAAGGAAAGAATCATGTCTGTGGCTCGTCCTAAGTGTATCCGCTTTTGATAATTAAAAAAAAAAATAAAAAAAAGTAAAAGGGGGGGGGGGGGGGTTAAACAAATATCTTAATAGTGCAAAAGATGGCACACACTGCCCCCCATTGGTATTTTTTTTAACTCTTAACTAACATAGCTGTGGAAGTGCCCAGATATCTGGCATACATTGAGGTCTAGATATAGAAAACACTGAAGGTCATACCAAACCATTCTGTTTATGACTTTTGAATAATTAAATGCTGTAGAATTGGCTTTACATTTACTATAATGCAAATCAGTTAATGGTATGAAGCTGTATCACTAGCATCTGTAGTCAATGCCACACAGTGAACACATTAGCAATGAACGTTGGTTTACAAAAATATTTCAGCAAAACTCTGTTGGATACCGCAGCTGTAATAAAATGTAGCAAGAACATTTGTTATTGCAGTCATATAAAAGGAAAAGATGCAAGACAATAAAGATTGATTTGACATGAAGCATGAATCAATTTTTACAGGTTAGACAAGAACATTAAGCAGAGTATCAAATGTGCAAAAGATGAAGCTCTTGACTTTACCTTATATAGTTTAAAGGCTAGAAGCATCTTTTGGATGATGTATGTCTAGTGTTATAAACAGGAAATGTATTATAGACCTATATAAGATATACTCTCACCGGCCACTTTATTAGGTACACCTGTTCAACTGCTTGGCAACACAAACTGCTAATAAGCCAATCACATGGCAGAAACTCGATGCATTTAGGCATGTAGACGTGGAGAAGACAACTTGCTGAAGTTCAAACCGAGCATCAGAATAGGGAAGAAAGGGGATTTTAGTGACTTTAAACGTGGCATGGTTGTTGGTGCCAGAGGGCCTTGGCCCACGTATTTAAAATACTGCTGATTTACTGGATTTTCATGCACCATCTCTAGGGTTTACAGAGAATGGTTTGAAAAAAAAGAGAAAATATCCAGTGAGTGGCAGTTGTGTGGACGAAAATGCCTTGTTGATGTCAGAGGTCAGAGGAGAATGGGCAGACTGGGTCGAGATGATAGGCAACAGTAACTGAAATAACCACTTGTTACAACAAAGGTATGTAGAATACCATCTCAGAAGGCACAACACGTCGAACCTTGAAGCAGATGGCCTAGAGCAGCAGAAGACCCCACTGAGTGCAACTCTTGTCAGCTAAAAACAGGAAACAGAGGCTACAATTCACACAGGCTAACCAAAATTGGACAATAGAAGATTGATAAAAGATTGCCTGGTCTGATGAGTCTCGATTTCAGCAGCAACATTCAGATGGTAGGATCAGAATTTGGCGTAAACAACATGAAAGCACGGATCCATCCTGCCTTGCATCAACAGTTCAGGCTGATGGTGGTGGTGTAATGGTGTGGAGGATATTTTCTTGGCACATCTTAGTATTAATTGAACATCGTTTAAATGCCACGGCCTACCTGATTATTGTTCCTGACCATGTTCATCCCTGTATGACTACAGTGTACCCATCTTCTGGTGGCTACTTCCAGCAGGATAATGAACCATGTCACAAAGCTCAGATAATCTCATACTGGTTTCTTGAACAGGACAATGGATTCACTGTACTACAATGGCCTCCACAGTCACCAGATCTCAATCCAATAGAGCACTTTGGGATGTGGTGGAATGTGAGATTCACATCACGGATGTGCAGCCGACAAATCTGCAGCAACTGCATGATGCTATCATGTCAATATGGACCAAAATCTCTGAGGAATGTTTCCAGCACCTTGTTGAATCTATTCTATGAAGAATTGAGGCAGTTCTGAAGGCAAAAGGGGGTCCAACCCAGTACTAGCAGGGTGCACCTAATAAAGTGGCCGGTGAGTATATGATCCTTTTATACCAGAAATAAACTATTATAAAGCTCCTGAAAAGTGCAGAAAAAATCTCAAACAATACAGTGTCCTAATTCTGCACAAATCTACCGTAGCCGATGAAAATGATGGCTGCTGTTAATTACATTGTAAAACTAACTTGTAATATCACTACTTCAAAACTGGTTTATATATCATATTTAGTATTAGCTTCAAAAAAACGTAGGCATACTGAAACATGGGGTTAACTTTTTTCCATGCCAGAGGTTCTAACTGTCCCCCTTGCATTCAAAAATAAAATACAGATATTGCTAGAGACAGGCTTTACAAAAAAAAAAAAAAAAATTTAAAAATGATTGCTACCTCCGCTTCCCTAACCTTCACCATTAGAAAACGTAACCAGAATACTCCAGTGACCACCAGTACCTCACATTTTCCCACACATAAAAACCGCCCATATAGGTACATACACCAAATAACTAAAATATAAACATCAATTTTTCTTGAAGACAAAACACATCAACATTGTATCTGTTTATGTTCAGCACATTAACCTCACCAGCTGAACAGCAAATTACAATGTGTTATTGGCCAAACTGGCTCAGATCCTTCATGAGTTGGCCTTGTTGCTGAAACTAACAGAAGTAGAAACCATCATCACATAATTACTATCCTATTAGAGAACACATTTCTTTGTGTCTTCTGCATATCCAACTTGTCCAATTGTAAGCCATATGGAAAAGGATCACAAACCACAGGTTAAGAATATCTGCCACAAAGGTATGATACTACAATTAAAGTGCTATATCAGAGGATATGTCTCTAAAATGACAGTTGATCAAGGGGCCCTCAAAGTGTTTCTTCAGTCTTTCTCCATTCCTATCCAGACCATCTGTAATAGCTTAGCAAAAAGAAAGCTGGAGTAAAAAAAATCCTAGTGACCAAGACTAAACAATCTAATTTTACTTCCATCAGTCCAGAAAAGACAGAGAAATGAGACTATGATGAGGCAGATCTTGAGTTCTCAGGCCACAATGACTGCCAAAACAATTTAAAGGATAAGTTCACGTTTAGAAAAAATATAAATGCACAATTTTGCAGGTAAAAAAATATATGCATTTTTTTTTTTGTTAGGG